TTTTCAGGGACAGAAATGCTCTAGGCCTTGTTTGGGGAACAGTTGCAGGGATGTATACAATTGGCAAAACTCACTGAATGGAACACTTAAGATCTGTGCATTTTAATCAAATAAAATTAAATAAATTAAATCAAAATAAAATTAAACAAAGATAAGAGCCCTTCACAAAATTAAAAACAATACTTCAGAGTCATGGAAAGACCCACAGCCTGGCCGAGCTGCCCTTTGGTTTACTCCAGGTCTACTCTCACGCCCAGGACCCAACAGGATCCTTCAAGGGCTCACCTAATATTGAACCACCCTCCCTTAGGGAGGACACCCTCCTTGGGCGTTCCGTGTCATCAGTAGCTTTGGTGTGCGAGTGTGTGGTTTAAATAAACGAATCCCTGTTCAAAAGTAGGACAAGCCTGTCGTTTTCTTTCGGATGGGATCCTAAGTAGGAAAATACAGCTGAGCGGGTACGTGACGATGGACCCGGGACGCTGTTGCCCTCTCACGCGTCCAGGCCCTGTGCTCCAGGCCTCCAGCGCTCATGTCACGGAATCCTTGCTGTAGCCCAAGGGAAGAAGGAACTTCTCCCTATTTTAGACCTGAGGGGACCTCATGGGACCAAGGTTCAGGGTAATTTGCTCAAGCTCAAATAGTAAGTGGGAGAAGCAGGAGATGAACCCTTCTCAGTCTCACTGGAAAGCTGTGCACTTCACAGTCCTGCCGGGCCATATCTACACAGCAAGTACACCTGGAGCACCTGGAGCACCTGCACCATGGGGCAGGCTGGGAGCACCTGGAGCACCTGCACCGTAGGGAAGGCTGGTACACCTGGAGCACCTGCACCACGGGGCAGGCTGGGAGCACCTGGAGCACCTGCACCACGGGGCAGGCTGGGAGCACCTGGAGCACCTGCACCACGGGGCAGGCTGGGAGCACCTGGAGCACCTGCACCACGGGGCAGGCTGAAAGCACCTGGAGCACCTGCACCGTAGGGAAGGCTGGTACACCTGGGGCACCTGCACCATGGAGCAGGCTGGGAGCACCTGGAGCACCTGCACCACGGGGCAGGCTGGGAGCACCTGGAGCACCTGCATGATGGGGAAGGCTGGGAGCACCTGCAGCACTGCACCAAAGTTCCAGAGGAGGAACCAGACACAAACAAGTTAACAAGCATGATCATTCCAAAGTTCGAAAAATGCTCTACATTAAACTAACGCGGTGAAGCGAGAGGGAAGGGATTGTTTTGTGCACCGTGGAGCACAGGGTGGGTGGGCCTTCTCTCACCCTGAGTCAGGGAGGCCCCTCTGAGGGGTGACATTGCTGAGAGGGAGGACAGGGAGCGTCAGCCTGGAAAGGAGCAGGTGCAAAGGCCAGGGGGATGGCGTTCAGCCTGAAGGAGGAGGAAGATGGGCAGGGGCAGGGAGGGGGAGGGCAGCCAGGCGGGCCTACAGGGCCTTGGGGTCCCTGTGAGGAATCTGGGTTCCAGCCACTGGAAGGTTTAACTGTGGCCAGAACTGTGTGGTCACATGTGTGCCCCCAGGCTCAGCAGAGCAGCTGGCTCAGAGTGGGCACTCAGCGTGAGCAGGCAGCTGTCACCACCCAGCTATCAGCCAGCGCTGAGCTCCAGCTGTGAGCCAGACCCAGGGGTGGGGGCCAGCTGCCCAAGACACAGCCCCTGGCTGGAAGGGACTGGAAGATGTGTACATAAGAGGGTGTGTGCGCGCGTGTGTGTGTGTATGCAAATGTGGGGCATGTATGTATGTGCGTGTATGTGTGTGGGGTGTGCATGCATGTGTGAGTGCACACACACCTTTGTGAGTGTGTGTGTGGTGGACGGTGGGGTGTGTCAGCGGGGGCAAGGTTAGGGGGTGCCCACAGGAAAAGTCCAACAACCCCGATGCCAGAAGTGATGACCACAGTGGAAAGAAGCCCCGGCAGATTTTGAACTAGGTCAAGTCGCATCCTGGCAGGGCGATGGAAGAGGTGATTTCCACACACCTGTGATCCTTCCTCTTGTCATCTGTCATCCAGGAGGGGGCTTGGAGGTAAGGGGTGGGTGCAAACACTGCCGTGGACAGTACTCCTCCAGGAAATCCCAGCCTGGACAAAGTAACCCCGAATAAAAAGTGCAATTTGCACAAAGATGTTCTTAGAATATTATTTATCACAGTCAAGACTGTTGAATTCCTGTGGATTAACAAAAGCTGACCGGCTCATAAGCTCCAGAGCGACACCTCCAGGAAGCACAACGCGGCTGTCAAAATGACGAGAATGTGGCCACATCAAACCATAGGCAAATTCACACGAAACCGCTGGCCGCCTTGCGAGTGTTCGTCCACAGGCCAACGCAGAGGAGCTTGCTCAGAAGACGTGAATATTCTAACGTCTTCATGTTCCCCTTCTTGTGCACATTCATGATTTAAACAAACTTGATTCATGGCGTTTTGTCCCCACCCAGTAGAACGGAGATCCGATGTTGTGCTGAGGACCCGGTGGCAACATTTGATCATCGCCGAAGTCCTGGGCAGAGATGCAGTCGCTCCCTCTGTGTCTGATGCTGCCCTGGCACAGACGCCGTCCACCTCCTTCCTCCTGGGGTACCAGGCCCCTCAGCGATGAGCTGGACACCATGGCGACACCTGCAGGGCAGAGAGGCAGTCGGAGGATGTCTGGGTCACCCCAGGGTAGACGCTGTGGAGGATGGGTGCTTGGGGAGTGTGGGCCAGCGCCCAGTTCACCCATCCCCCGTGGGAAACTGAAGTTGCTAATTGGGAAGTGGCAGGTGGGACTAACATGAGGAGTCCTGACCCCCGAGTGCCTGCGCCCGTTGGCACCTTGTGTTCCTCAGGGCTCCCCAGAGAAACAGCACCAACTGCGTGTGTGTAGAGAGAGAAGAGATTGATTATAAGGAAGTGGCTCAGGTGATCGTGGAGGGTGGTGAGCCCAAATCTGCAGGGTGGTGGCGTGGGGGAGACCCAAGAGAGCCATGGAGCCGTTCCAGTCTGAAGGTTGTCCTCCTGGAGAATCCTTCTTGCTCAGGGAGGCTGGGCTTTTGTTCCGTTCAGGCCTTCAACTGATTGGGTGAGGCCCCCACGTCATGGAGGGTGATCTGCTTTTCCCTGAGCCCATTGATTTAAGTGTTCATCCCATCCATACACGTTCCCCGGGCTGACATGTAAAACTGACCATCCCAGCCATGGAGGCTGGGGTCTTGGAGGCCCCCGCAGGGCTCCCGGCCTGAGTGGGCTCCCCTCTCCTGTGTGGGTGCCCTGCCTCCGGGGGCACTTCTGGGGGTCTGCCTGTGGAGTGAGCCCCGAGATGACAGGCTACTGCCCCCTAGCTGACCTTGTCCTGAGCTTGCCTCCCCACAGGCCGCCCCAGCCCATGATTCTCCTTTTGTCCCTCTTTCTATGGGCTGCTCAGGCCTGGCTCAGACCCCAGTTAAAATCAGAAGCCATTCCCCCAGCAGCCCCCACGAGGTGCGGCTTGTCCCTCTCAGGGAGGGTGGGCACATGGAGCAAATCCAAATACAGACACCCACTTGGATCTGAATTTCAGAATGGTAGTAATCGCTCCTTTAGTCGATGTTCTATGCGATATTCGGGAGACGTATTCTTGAAGAGCATTCATTGTTTCAAACTTAACCGGGGAGCCTGCACTTCTGTCTGGCACTCTCGGCCACCCTCCCTGGACCAGCAGATGCAGGGCTGTCACTGTAATCCCTGGGCCCAGACACACACAGGCCCCTGGCTACCCAGGGCAGGGACACGGCCGGGCTTCGCTGACAGCAGGCGTGTTGCAGGGGGGCCTGACTTGGAGGGGGGGCAGATCCTCTTTCACAAAACACTGAGTGTAAGCACAGGGCGGCGGGGAAGGGGGGCACGGCCAGGGAACTACCCCAGAGGACGTCCTAGCCCGGGGACTTTCTCACACAGGTGCCCTGGCCTGGCCCCAGACGCCCCGCCCCCCACTCTCGGCTGTTCTCCTGGGGGAGGGGACATCCCTGTCTGAGGTCATCCCCAGCCTTCCCCGAAGCACGTGGCCCACTTATTGGTCTGAAGAAGGCTCTAGAAAAATCTGAGCTTTTGGCAATCAGGAGGGCCCTGGTTGTGGTCTTGGAATCACAGATCTGGTCTGGGCCAAGGAGGAGCAGGCTCGGCACAGGCTTCCTTTCTGGGGCTCAGGTCTCACGTGGAGCCCACCATGGGAGCCGGGATTTGGCTGGCTGGAGCTGCCACTGTGCCCCTGGCTATGTGATCTTGGGCAAAAATCACTGAGAATTTCAAGATAGAAACAGCACAGCGTTGAACCAAGTGTGCAGCCTTCCTGCACTGAGCTCCTGGCTCCCATCCCGCAGAGCATCCACTCTCTGGGCACTGGGGTGTGGATAACGGAGAAAGCCTGGCCTTGCCACCACCCCGGGGTCTGCCCACAGGGCCTTCCCAGCCAAGTGTCTGGCACAGAGCCTTTCTCTTCCACCCAGAGGCCTGCCCGGTGGTGCTGGTGCCTACTCTCGTCCTCCTCCAGGTTCCTGGGGCGGGTGTCGTGTCAGACCCAGCAGCCATCCCAGGGAGGCAGGAGGCCCCCTCTCGGTGCAGGGTCAGGGGCCCTAGACATGGAGGAGCTGAGCGAACGCTGGTCCCAGGGAGACATCCCAAGTCCATCCTGCACCACGAGGCCAGCTGCGGTGCCCGGGGAGGCCGGCCTTGGCGCAGAGGCACAGGGCCCGGCAGACCAGCAGGGTCTCCCGTGGGTGCGGCCGTGGGGAGGAGAGGGGGAACGTGCCCAGCAATGCCTGTGATTCCTGATCTAACCCTACCCTCGCTGCTTTCATGGGTAAACTGAGGCCGGAGGAAGAAGCTCCCTGCAGAGGAGAGGCACCCTCCGTCTGCATGGTGACTAGGGACCCAAGGGCACATCCCGCTGCGGTGGCAGAGCGAGTCCCACGGCCCAGTGACGTGCTCGCCCAGAGTCGAGTCCCCACCAGGAACGCGCAGACGCAGCCGAGCTTTCTGTAAAGAGCATCATAAATATATTTCCATAGAGACAGAATACAATAAATAGCTGGTACGAACATGGAAAACAGCGGCAAGCCTGTCCCGAGTCTGGGCTCGCCAACGGGGAAGGTGACATAGGCCCCGCTGCTTTTGAGGTAAAACTTTGTGTGAACTTTTCCTTTGAAGGGAAATCCCTGTGGGGCACCCAGATGAGCAGGGGCGGCTCTGGTCTTCCGCCTGACCGTCCACCAGCCACGGGGTCCGGCCACCACGGTTCCCAGGGCGGAGAGGTGATGGATGTCTCCGACTGCATAAGGGCCAGGGAGGATGCAGTGGAAGCCATGCTGCCTGGGCTCGTCCCCCTGGAGGTTCCAGGGTTCCTTGGCAGGGTTCTGGGGTGCGGCCAGGCAGGTCCTGTTCCTGGGGGCCCCGGGGCCATCACCCCGTCCTCAGCCTCAGGACCCGGGAGAGGGGCTCCTTGGCGCTGGAGTAGATGAGGTAGGCGCCGGCTGCGGTGCGGAAGGCTTCCCAGTCCCTGCAGCCGAAGGTTGGGAGGCTGTGCATGGCCACGAAGCCTTCGTATCCCTGCCACCTGCGGGGAGAGACACGTCAGCAGGGGGCCAGGGATGGCCAAGTGCACTGGGGCGTCGGGGCTGCCCCCGGCCCGTGACTCCCACCCGACCCGGCTCTGTGATCCTCTCCCACTGGGCATGGCGTGGAGGGGCCTCTCATCCCTGGGCTTCACGAGCTCCCCAGGCTGCAAGCAGAAAGCTGGGCTGGCGGGGGCCTTCTCAGCCTGCAAAGAGGGAAACTGAGGCCCAGAAGGGGGAACTGCCCTGTCCTAGACCTTACAGCTCCTCACATCTACCCAGGATAAGAATGTCCTCGGGGCACCCCTGACGGGACGTGGGGGGGATGGGAGGGGGTCCTGGCAGTTCCAATGGGTAACTGCAGGGGCCGAGCCAATGTCCCTCCCCACCCCCGGGGGCGGGGTGGACAGCGAGGCAGGTGCCCTCAAACACACCCCCGTCACCACACACACGGGGATGGCCGCCTGTTTTTCAGTGAAGGAAACATGCTCCCTGCACACGGCTCGGCGACCCCATGCCATGTTAGGATGCCCCACCCGCCACCATCCTGCCACTGCACAGCAGCGGTTCCTGGATCTTGTCCTTCAAAAGGGATTTATGGACAGCTGGTTCCATTTTCACAGGGTGGAATCCCCAAAGCAGGGCCTAGATCAAAGACACGAACAGTTTTAATTTTCACGTTTTTCCACGTTACTTTCTAGAAAGGCTGGGGGATTCCTGTCCCCATGGGAAAGGGCCAGGACCCCCTCCCCCCACATACACACACACACCTGCCACGCGGCACGGTGGGTCTTTAAACAGCTTCCAAATTGGCATGGGGAAAATGCACCATCCTTGGGCTTTGAGAAAAAATTCTAATATGTTTATCCACATTTTTCCTTTTTTCTTCTGAAAATTCCCGTTCCTATCTTTTGCCCATTTTTCCAAATTTGAGAATATCCTTTATTAATTTGTAGGAATTCCTTTTCTGCCATATGTGTGGTAAACAGTTTGTCTTTTGACTTTGAATAGGATGTCTTCTTCCATATAAAACTTTTAAATTTGGGTAGGCAGCTGGGGAAAGAGGCCCCCATGTCTTTGTGTAACTTTGAGGTTTTATAAGGTCATCTTAGCTTTTCTTCTAACATTTCTGTTGTTTAATTTTTTACACTTAGATCCTTATAAAATTTAATCCTGATAAAATTTGTTTTTGTATCTAATATGAAGCAGGGGTAAAGCTTTGTTTTCTTCCAGATGGAAAGAAAATTACATGAAATTATTTTATTAAGTAATGCATCCTTTTCTTATTGAATTGAAATGCAACACACATCATCACAGCAAAGGATCATAAATTACCGGCTCTCTTCCAGACTGTCTTCTATTTCTCTCATCTATTTGTTTATTTCTGGCAAAAATCAGCACGCTTTATTTACATGTGGTCCGGGCCTCCGTCGCTATTCTTCCTTTTCAAAATTTTCTTGACCATCTTTGAAAATTTATTCTTTCACATGAAATTTAAAATTACTTTGTTATGTTGAAAAATTTACAGCAATAAATTAGAAAGTCTAAAGAAAATCTATGACTTTTCTAGTAAAATATAGATGACCAAAATTGTCTCAAGAAGAGATGGGAAACCTGATTGAACCAATAACCGTGGGAGAAATTGGACCAGCCGGTCAAGAGACATCACGGAAAAGGCACCAGGTCCAGATCGCTTTGTAACTGAATGTGACCTAATGGTAAAGAAAACAGATAAATCCTCCCGTTCAAACTATGCCAGGCCACAGGCGCAGGTGGAAGACTCTGCAGTGGGCTTCTATAGTCAGGCTCCATCTCAAACGGGACAGAGGTCAAGGCCCCAAAAGAAAACCACAGAGCGATTTCATCCCCTGGTAAAGAGTCTGAAATCAGCCATAAACCGTCAGTAGCCAGTGGCATATTAAATAATTACACATCATCATTCAGTGGCCTTTGTCCCAAGAGTGCAAGGACACCTTCATGCCACTACTATCCAAGATTGTTCTGGAATTTCTAGCTAATTAAGAAGACTAGATAAGCCGTGGAAACATTAGCAGTGAAGAGGCAAGTTGCCTTTATTTGCAGATGTAACTGTATCCCCAGAAGGCTCATGGGATTCTTCAGAAAACTGTTAGAACTGACAAGATAATTTGGTTGGGTGTCTAGACACAAAAATTAATTGTCAGAGGGCCGGGCCCGTGGCCTAGTGGTTAAGTTCGCGCGCTCCGCTTTGGTGGCCCAGGGTTTCACAGGTTCGGATCCTGGGCTCGGACATGGCACTGCTTGTCAGGCCACATTGAGTCGGCGTCCCACATGCCACAACCAGAAGGACCCACAACTAGAATCTACAACTACGTGCTGGGCGGCTTTGGGGAAAAGGAAAAGAAAAAGAAGATTGGCGACAGATGTTAGCTCAGGTGCCAATCTTTAAAAAAGATTAATTGTCACATAAGGAGGTGGAAACGGAAATGAAAGATCCCAGCTGTGGTGCTTACAATAGTTGAAAAACTCCCATAAATGAATTTAACAAGAATGCCTCAGGGCCTGTAGGAGGAAAGGGAAAATTGCGCTGAAGGACACGATAAATGGAGAGACCTACCATCGTCTGATCGAACGCTGAATAGAATAAAATATCAATAACCCTCAGATTCGTGTGTCGCATACTGCATGACTGGCGGGTCAGCTGGCTAACCCCAGGGGCGTGACCCAGACTCAGCCTGCCTTCAGGGGCACCCGGCCCAGTGGCCTGTGACTCACTCTGAGCCTGGGGTCACCGTCAGGGAAGGTGAGCGACCCCAAGTGAACCAGGTGGTGAGGAAGGGCCCGGCCCGGCAGCTCCTTACCTGTAAATAATACTGTTGACCGAGAAGGTTTTCCCATCGAAGGAGTTTGCAACCACTAGGAAATAGTCCTCTCCCACCGAGAAGAACTCCCAGTCCAGGGCGCTGAGGAAGAGAAGGAAGCGGGCCCAAGTTAGGACGCGGGGCTCCCAGACGCCGCCAGGGAGCTCGGGGCGCTGGCTTCAGGCCGATTCTCCCCCGAGTCCCAGGCCCCGGGGGGCTAGGGCCCACCTCCAAAACCCACGGAAGGGGGAGCAACTTCCTCAGTCACATGGTGACTGCTCTATTCCAGAGAAATGCAAATCAGTCATTCACTTAAAATTTTTTTTTAAATTTTTTAATTGTGGTAAAATACATGTAACGTAAAATTTGCCTTTTTAATCATTTTTAAGTGTACAGCTTGATGGCGTTAAGTCCGTTCACATTGTTGTGCAACCGTCACCACCATCCATCTCCAGAACTGTCTCATCTTCCCAAACTGAAACTCAGTCCCCATTAAACGCTAACTCCCCATCCTCCTGCCCCAGCCCCTGGTACCACCAGTCCACTTTGTCTCTGTGGATTTGACTCCTCTGGGGACCTCATATCAAGTGGAACCACACAGTGGTTATCTTTTGTGACTGGCTTATCTCACTCAGCACAATGTCCTCAAGGTTCATTCCCGTGGCAGCAGGTGTCAGGATTTCACTCCTTTTTAAGGCTGAGTGATATTCCTTTGTATGAATGGACCAGATTCTGTTTATCCCGTCATCCATCAATGCACACGTGGGTTCCAAGTGTGAACAGTGATGCTATGAACATGGGTGCAAAACTCTCACTTTGAAGAGGTTGAAATAATCAAGAGGAAAAGTCCCATGCTGGTGGTCACTCCCTGAGGGCTCAGCACCCCCTGGAGGCGGGAACTTGAGGACGCTGGCTGAGAGGTCACCCATTTGCCCCCGGCTCCCTCCCTGAGACCACCCAGGTGCCAACATAGCACGTTCCCCTGCATTTGGAAGCCGGGGCTCTTACTGCTCACCGACGCTGTAGTGTGTCTTAGACGAGAGCCTCCTGGACTTGCTAAGGGTCAGCCTGTGCTCAGAGATGGTCAGTTCTGAGAGATCTGACAAGTGGACTCTTGGAAGAGCTCCCCAGAGCCCCCGACCCTCTGAGGAGCCCAGCTGGGCTGTCAGCCCCGGCTCACCATCGCGTCTCTGCTTACTGCGGGCCCTGTGCCCACTTTACAGATGAACTGAGGCTGAGGCCTTGCAGCAAGCAGGAGTCAGCCAGCTGCCAGAGGCCAGGCTGGTGCATCCCCGTCCAGTGGCCTCAGGGCTTGGCCTGTTCAGGCAGCAGAGGGTCACCCTCCCTTGGTGGAGACTCACCTCTGGGTTCCTTCTCTGTGGGAACTGAGGGCGCTGGCCCACAGCTGGGTGCTCAAGCAGGACCCTGGGAGTGAGAGGGCCCACAGAGGCACCTGGGGACACGCAGGGCAGGGTGGAGGCCAGTGGGGGTCCGGGGGCTCCCACTCCTTCCTTCTCCCATTGGCCAGGGTCATGTCTCGGGCCCCTCCCAGTGATGGCCAGTTATGACTCGGCTCCAGAGTGGTGGCCATGACTTTGCTCACTGAGGAGTGGCCCTCAGAGCCCCCACCTGTGGGGAGCCCCCGCCTGTGGGGTGGGCCCTGGGCAGTGGGGCAGCCGTGTGGTTCTCGTGCATTGTCCCTCCAGTCGTAACAGGGTTCTAAAACCAAGGCCCGCAGAAAAGAAGCGAAGAGCGAAGTTCTGACTCACACTGTCCGTGCCCTGGCTCCTCTCAGGGGCCACCTCGGCTGGACCCGGGAGAAGGTAAGGGGTCAGCCAGGACTTCTGTTTGCCTCCAAAGCAGCATGACAGGAGTGACATGGACAGGAACCCAAAGTGTATTTTTATTCTTCAGAACCACACCATTTGGTCAAAAGGTAGAAACAACCCACATGACCATCAGCGGATGAACAGGTAAAGGGATGTAGTCTGTCCCTATGACGTACGTACGTCATGTGGCCACGAGAGGAACGAAGAGCTGGCACCTGCCACGACGTGGATGGACCTTGAAAACATGATGCTGAGCGAAAGAAGCCAGACACAAAAGGCCACCTACTGTATACTCCACTCATCCAACACATCCAGAAACGGGAAGTCCATGGGGACAGAAAGTAGACTGGAGGCCGCCAGGGCCTGGGGGAGACGGGGCAGAGGGAGTGACAGCTAAAGGGCAGAGGGCTTCTTTTCGAGGTGATGAAAATGTTCTAAAGTTACCTGTGGTGCTGGCTGCACGTATCTGTGAATTTAATGAAAACCACTGAGTTGTCAAAAATAAACAAGCAAACCAACCGCACCATTTGAAAGCAATTAGAGCCGAGATGACAAATACGAGCCACAGAACCAGTCGGCTGCCCCGAGAAGGTCCACGCCCCATTGGAGAGGGAGGTCACATCGCACCTCCAGGAGCCAGTAGACTTCTACCCGGAGCCCCCCGGCGCGTGGCTGCTGCCTGCTCCAGGCTGGCTCCCAGGAAGCCACGCGACGGTTCCAAAGGGCATCTCCGACACCAAGCCCAGCCCTGGCCTCGCCCCGACCTTCCAGCCCTCCAGCCTCAGCGGGTACCTGCAGGTGAGGACCTCCTGGAACTTGACGAAGGCCTGGGCGCTGACGTTCAGCTCGTAGATGACGGAGTTGATGACGTAGGAGTCGTTCTGCACCTGCATTTCCACGTCGTAGCTGTGGCTGTTGGCCACAGCCAGAAAGGTCCTCTCCCCGATGCGGAAGACCTCCCAGTCCGCGGCGCCAAATGTCTGGATGGAACGAGAAGGCGGCAGAGAGCACCCGTGAACAGACCCCTCAGCATGGCCCAGTGCGGCCCTGAGGAGAAGCATCTGCCCCACAGACACCGCCTGGGCACCCACCTGGTGCTCCCGGGCTGGCTTGGCTCACTCTCCCAGCCTCACCAACCACCACACCCTTTTACGAACGTGAGTGCCAATGTGCCCATATGAAGAGCTCATCCGCGTGGAGTGCTTCTTAGCCATCTGTGCCTCCCACTCCCCTATACCCCAATGCTGCCCATCCTGCGAGGTCCTTCTGCAACAACACCTCTTCCAAGGAGCCCTCCCTGCTTCCTCCAGTCGTGCTCTGAACTTAGGAGCAATGTCTAGGTACCTCCTGTGTTTCTTACTGCGCGCTGTCCCTGGCCTGAGGTTCTCCTTTGGCTCTATCGATAGTCCACCTCTGGGCTCCCGTGCAGGCTGTTCCTCTGTAAATACTGATCACCCTTGAGGCGGAGGTGGCATGGGGCCACAGGGCTGGATTTTGACACAAATGGTGAGCTTCGAAGCCTTTGCCCAGACCGTGAGCTGCACGAGCTGATTTGCACACGGGGTCCATGAGGAGGAAGTTTATGTCCAGGTATGGCCAGCATCTCAGGGATAATCAGGGGGGGGGGTGCAAGGAGAAGGAGAAGCCCAGAGAAATCCTGATCCAGGTCCCAGGCTGAGCCCCACAGGGAGAGGGCAGGGCAGAAATGAAAGGAGACACTTTCCTAGGGAAGAGGTGCGGGTGCAGGGAGAGGCCCCATGGGGTGGGGGTCAGAGTGGGAGAGGCAGAATGTGGTGGCTCCCTGTGGTGGGGGCCTGTGGCTGAGGGAAGAGAGTGTAAATGCTCTCAGGGGGCCCCGAGCATCAGCAGAAAGGGGGCTGAGTCAACTCGTCTGCTCCCATGGGCTGGGGAGGGCTGTGGAAGCCCCCGTGGTGGCCTTTGCATTGAAACTGTCTTTGGAATTCTTGCTTCCTGGCTCTCAGGTTCTGATACTGGTGCGGAAACTCAGACTCACCCTCCTGAGAGCGATTGTAAACTCTGGATGAAATACTTAAAAATGCATACAACTGCTGAAGGTTCTGGAGAGCGGCAGAGGGCAGGCAGAGACTGCAGGGGATGCGAACGTGCCCCCTGAACGCCTGTTTACCTGCATCTTCCTCTGAGGATGCTCATCCCATGGCAGGTGGGCATGGCACTCGAGTGGACGCAGCAGGCTGGTTGGACAGGGAAGCCGAGGTGAGAGTTTAAGGCTTCCAGAGTGTCTAGGAACAGAAGGGAATGTCCCAGAGAGGAGGGAGCCACAGCAGGGGAGCCCCAGGATCTCCTATTAACTTCTCTCAGGTCCTTGTCTGGCTGCTGAACTGCGCACACAGGGAGCAAGATTCCAGGGACCCAGAGACAGACAGCAGCTGAGAGGCTAACAGACCTGACCAGAGACTTCAGGAGCTGGGGAAACACCTGGCAAAGGTGACCTACGATCAAGAGAAGAAACAGCACATAGAAACAGGCTGACAGCATGCAAATACTGGAGGTAGCAGACAAAACTGGACTATAACTATGATAAGAATTTATAGGGAAATATGAATGAAATGAGCAATGAGATGGGAAAACTCACAGAGACAGGAAAACTCTAAAAAGAGCCAAACAGAAATCCTGTAACTGAAAACTATAATATTTATACCCATAAATTTACTAGATGGGATCAAGAGCTGCAACCCAGAACAAAGAACCAGCGAACGAGAAGACAGACAGTAGGAATGATCTGAATTGAAGCACAAAAAGGCAAAAAAAGATTACAATAAGTTAGAGCGAACAGGGCCTTGAGGACCTCTGGGATAATACTGTGTGGTCTGATGGACATGGAATTAGGTCACAGAAGGAAAGGAAAGGAAAATGAGGCTGAAAAAGCATTCAAAGAAGTGATGGGTAAAATTTTTCCAAATTTGATAAAAACACCAAACCACAGATCTGAGAAGATCAGAGACAGAAAGCAGAGTAACTACAAAAGGGCCACGTCTAATTTGATAAAAACACCAAACCACAGATCCGAGAAGATCAGAGACAGAAAGCAGAGTAACTACAAAAGGGCCACGTCTAGACACATCGTACTCGAAGAGCTGGAAAGAGAAGATGAAGAGAGAACCTGAAAAGCAGCCAGAGAGAAGAGTTACATTCAGTACAGAGAAACAACGATGCCTCTGGTACCCGACTTCCCATCGGAAACAACGGAAGCTCCACGTCAACAGAAAGACATCTTCGAAGTAACTGAAAGAAAGAATGGGAACTCAGAATTCTACAACCAGTGAAAATATCCTGCAAGCGAAAATGAGGTCATTTTCAGATAAAAGCGATAGAATGAATTGCCAGCAGACCTGCTTTCCTAGAAACACTGAAGAAAGCTACTAAGGCTGAAGGTAGGTTACGCCAGATGAGATCAGAATCCATAGGAAGGATGCAGAAGGGGGCTGGGAATGGTGAGTACGAGGGTGTATAAAGATGACAGCAAAAATCATGACTTATCATGGAGCTTATAACACAAGTAGAAGTGTGAGTACATGTAGGCACAACAGCCTGATGGATGGGTAGGGATAAATGAAATTATATCGTTGTAAGATTATTACATTATATATAAAGTATAATATTAATTCAAAATACACTGTAATGAGTTAAACACGTATATTGTGATTACTGGAGCAACACACGAATACAACAAGAGGAGCTAGAATAGAGATTATCTATGTGACAAAGGACTTGTATCCAGAATATGTAAAGAAGCTGCTACATAGCAGTAACAAAAAGGCAAAAAAATTAAACATGGGCAAAAGACTTGAATAGACGTTTCACCGGTGAACCTATAGAAAGCCAACCAGTGATGAAGAGATGCTCACTATCTAGTCATCAGGGAATCGAAACTTAAAAACCACACGGTGATCCCACTTCACATCCAATGTGTAAAACTGAAAACACAGACAAAACCAAACACAGTCATGCACTGCATAAGGATGTGTCGGTCAACGATGGTGGCCCCATAAGATTAGTCCCATAGAGCCTAGGCGTGTAGGAGGCTATCCCCTCTAGGTTTGTGTAAGGCACTATGTGATGATCGCACAATGACGAAATCACCTAAAGATCCATTTCTCAGAATGTGTCCCCGTCGTTAAGGGACGTGTGACTATTTTGGCAAGGATGTGGAGTGACTAGAACTCTCCTACGTTGTTCGTGGGCGTGTATGAAATGGTACAACCGTTTTGAAAAACTATTTGGCCATTTCTTCAAAAGTTAAATGCAGATCTACCTTATGACCCAGAATTCCACTCCTAGGTTTTTACTCAAGAGAAATAAAAACAGATGCCCATGAAAAGCCTTGTATGAGATGCACACAGGTTCAGTCGTAATAGTGAAAAGCTGGGAACAGCTCTCAGGTGCTGTTTCCATCAAGAGCAGAATGGCCGACAAACCGTAACGTATTCACGCAACAGGGTGCTACTCAGCAAGAAGGAGAAACACACCATGTGCGTGTTCAACAGTCAACCACACACACAGTCTGACTCCATTTATTACAAATGTTTTAACAGGAAAAACTATTAAATAGTCACAGAAATCAACCATGGTGGCCTGGTGGGGACAAGGGAGCCACTGACTGCAAAGGGGCACCGGGGTCATTTTAGAAGTAAGGAAAATACTCTGTTTTGATCGAGGTGGTGGTTAGAGGGCAGATATACTTGGAGTAATCAAACTTGGAAACCCGAACACTTTGTTGTGTGTATGCACAACAGAGTTCCAGAAAAAAACAGCGTTCCTTGCCCAGTGGACAAGGAGGCTGTTTCCTCCTCATCTTAAACCCTCTGGGGCTGGCCGAGTTGGAGGCCGGAAGAGGCACCCAGTGTGTTCAACGCCCACCCCTCACCCCCGGCAGGGCTCCAGTGGCACCTGGCAGCCTAAGGAGATGCTGCTCGGGAAGGAGGGTGGGCAAGGATGGAGTGCAGCAGGAAGGCGGAGGACGGGCTCCTTCAGTCCAACGGTGACGTCCAGACTCTCCAGTTGCTAGGAAGGCTAGTCGTCCCCGCGCGTCTCAGGTAGTCCTGGCGGGGCAGAGCTGGTCACGCTGCAGAGGCAAGCCTCAGATCCTCTGACCACGTCTCTCCCCGGCGTCCCCCGCGCCCAGCGGAGCCTGTGCTTGGACACCTCACAGCTCCCACACGGGGGTCTGATGTGACTGCCCCTCCTGGCGCTTCTGTGACCTCCTTTCTCCACCTGTAAATTCAGGACATGCTGCCCGTCTTCTCATCCCCTGTGGCTCTCGGTGCCTGGCTGGCGGCTCCATGGCCACTTTGTAAACGGCTGCTGGACCAAGAACAAACTCTGGCCAGACGTGGCAGTGTTTTCTCACGCCCAGAAGAGGGCACCATTGCCCAAGCAGCCCTGGGGCCAGGAGGTGAGCTGGGGCCTTTCTGGATTAGCGAGTCCTCTTCTCATTGAGGCTCTGTGAGGTGGCACTGTTCTGTCCCCCAGGGCCAGCCCACGACTGCCGAGCAGGATGCAGACACACAGGGCCTTCAGCATCATCGGTTCTGCGGCTGCTTCACAGAGGATGGTGCTTCAGGACCCACACATGTGCGCAGACGACACACATGCCAGCGCGACTCCACAGAAACCAAACAAGACTTGGCAGATTATTAGAGCATGGGCTCCTCCCGACCCCGTGCTGAGGAAACCATGCCATGGGAAACCACACATGCACGTGTACACAGAAATGCACACGCCTGTGTGCACAGGCCTGCACGCACACACCCATGCACAGTGCACACGTGTACACATGTGCATACACCTACACACACGTGTGTATACATACACCTGCACACAGACAACCATGCACAGTGCACATGGGTATACATGTGCATACACCTGCACACATATGTGTGCATACATACACCTGTACACAACCACGAGCAGTGCACACGTATACATGTGCATACACCTG